CACAACGATCTATGTACTTGGTGTATTTGAAAACCTGGTCATTTACTCTTTAAACTAATTTTAAGCAGTTTATGTAGCCTTAGTTTTTTGGTCAAGCAGCTGATGATAAACAGCTTAGAAAAAGGGAACAGAAACTCCCCACTGATTACATTTTAAAACAATCTGTAACAAGAGTTTTTTTCTGCTGATTTAACAGGTTTCAGGATCTCTAGAAACGCGTATCATATGTTTGTCTCCAAAAGTAGCCTGACTGCACTTCCCATTTAAATCACTATCAGCAAGATTTTGTTCAGTTAGATTTTCACACATTTTGAGGAATTATGTGTAAGGAGACTGGTAAAATTACACATAATCTCATGTACAAACTAGAGCAGACATTCTGCCTTGTCCAGCTAAAAGCATTCATACTTTTCAATGCCTTGGAAAGCAAATCTTTCTAAGTTATAAAACATTATGAAATTTCTTATCTTCAGCATAATTTTCTGAGTCCAGACTGAGTTTGGAACAATTGCCCAAACACTTTATTTCTATTCTCTCTTAAGTATTTTGATTTGAAGAGTCTACAAAAAAACCCCAAACCAACGACCGAAAAAAAAAAAAAAAAAAAAAAAAAATCGAAGTATCACACAGCAGTAGTTAAGCAATTTCTCTCAAAATATACTTTGTTGCTTCAGAATAATTACCACATACACACTTATATGGGAATATATATATGCATGTACATATACATAAAGGTGTACTTATGATCTAGCTGATAAACATTTTATGGGCAGAAACACTGAGGCCCTCAACTATCATTGCAATCAAGAACTAAAATGCACATGAACCCTTAAGGCAACACAGCTTCCTTTGCTTTCCAGCAGATAGTCTTGAGCAGTAGCCACACTGCACGCCAGTGAGCAGTCAGTTCTCAGTATCAGCAACTGCCAGCAGAGATAAATTTTTCCACGAGGCATGAAATTATTAATCTCTCATTTGGCAATTTCAGGAGCTCAAACACTGAACTTGCTCCACACTAGTGCAAAGAGGATTTGAACACTGTCAGATAATTGAAACTATCAAATAGAGAGCCTGAAGTACTCTTTTTTCAGCATTTCTACAAGAAATACGAGCGTTCTGACAGAACTGGGATAGAAATAGTCTAATCGTGCACCAAAACTCTTCAAGATCTCAACAGCTTTTGTAGCCATAGGCTAAAGACAAGACTCTCAAGAACATTTTTTCAGCACTGTGAAAAAGGAGGCACCCCAATCCCCTCAGCCAGGTAAGTTTTTGTCATGATTGCTAGGATACTCACAGGGAATAGGCTATCCTCTCATTCATCCAAAACCTGACTCCACCACACTATCGCCTACCTATAAGTACCTGTCTCCTCTCACCCAGGAACCACATTCTGGAACTCAAACACATCTACCATCAAAATCGATGCACTTTTCTTGACAAGCTAAAGGAACTACCATTTTCCAAGGGGAAAAAAAAAAATATTACTAAGACATTGTCAGCCAGCTCTATCTGCAACAAGCCCGGGTCAAAAGGTTCAACAGATTTTAATACTTCCCATGGCAAACCTGACAATAAAGAGGTGAAGAAAGCCAGTGTTGTCCCAAAAGTGGGGATCATATACATTGGTGTTTTGCACACCGGGTACACACAGAGTAGAAGTATTTTATTTATAGCATATTTGAATGGATCTGGGTTCAAGGTGGTATTCCACAAAGCTAACACACCATACAGAGGAATTACCACATATTTATCCTGCTACAAGATTAGCAAAAACAATAGAGAAGCCTCTCAAGTTTACATTAATTGGCTATTAATTACCATATTGCTTATCATTGGTGACACATACTCAAATTGGCACACATGCTCCTAGAAAGAGTGCGGGGGGTAATCTGCATAGTCCCTCAAGTGTGTTGGTGGTCACCATCTCCCCCTGCCACCTTTACCTTTGCCCCAGCTACTGTGGATTCTGCTGAGCTCATGACAGGTACATTCTTCAAGAGTGCAGGAACAGCTAAGTCTTCAAGGTTTACCTGCTTAAGTACAAATACTTCTTCATCTTCTTGACCATCAGATCTGGTTTCATTAATCTTTATGATTGTGTTAACTCCTACCAATCTGCACACTAGAATCTTCCATTTGCCTCACCCCAGTGACATTTCCATAGCTCACACCCAGTTTCCTCAAGTGTTAAGGAAAGCAGAAACAGCAAAGGACTGGCAGAGGAAACAGTACAAAACAGGGGCTTTAGAGGAACATTACTGAGCACCAAAGGCTTAGATTGACTCACCTCCACCCCATGGAGAGCAGCTAATAGCGGAGGAAGCAGCATAGGTCCTGAATGCACAAGCAGTAACAAGCAACACAGAAAGTCTGTGTACAGTTGTGGTCTGAGAGGGGTCCAGCAGACATACTCTAAGAGCCAGAGTCTGCAGAGCAATCTACTGTGAAATGCTGTAAGGCTAGTGAAATACACAAACCCCACAACTTTGAAAAAAACACCACAAAACGTATTCCTTGGGCTAATCACACCTGATCACAGCTCTCCACTCTCAAATTAAAACCAGCTTTCCACAACCACCACCACATTAGCACCCACTGCCTATTTCCATTGCTGGTTTGTAGAAGAGAGGGGAGGAGAGATCACTGAAGGGTAGCTGACATTTAGCTGCTGAGCAATCAGTGTGTAATTTAGCTGTCTTCAATGAGAAAAGTGTCTTTTAGTAAAAATCTTTTGTCTCATTCAGCTGGCTGCTCAGAGTTAACACAACCCTGCAGTTTCCTCTGGCCTCACACTTGAGAGCTGACTCCACCACCACCACTCTCCCCAGTAAAAATGGCAACACTGGTGAGCACCCAGGCAGGATTGGGGCTTTCCAGCAAGCTGTCCTGCTGGGGGCCCAGATCCTGCTGCAGACAGACAGAGCTCTCTTGGGGGACATTCGCATACACCAGAATTTCAGTCCTATACTGAAAAACCAACTTGTTTAGAGAGGCACCAGTCAGGTCTGAACTCCTCCAGGCACAACCAGAGCACGTCAAAACAGACTCTTCAGATGTCTGGGTTGCAAACGCACTTAGCATTGACCCAGCTGCAAGCTGGAACCAGGAACAGAAAGTGCTGAAGACGACATTGTCCGAGTAACGCCGTCAGAGCTCAGGAATGATTTTAGTTTCCTCTTTTTCAGAACCAAGACATATCCTCCCTTTGCTCTGGTACCCCACTGATGGGGTACCACCAGCGATGCTGATTGGTAATGTGACATTTACATCTCATCCTCAAGGAGATGTCTACTTAAAATGCAACCAGGGCAAAACCTTTATGCATCAAACAGCTTCTCTTCTGCTGATAAATCCAAGACAACGTGCTGACGTACAAATTATTAGGTAAGTCTTTAGTGAGCAATTTAGCTAAATTGAACTGCTCTTGCTCTGCAGAAAAGGTATTTCATTAAATAAACGCCCTGCACAGGGAGCTTTTGGTGTGCTCAGGCAAAAGCAGCAGCAACATACTTTTCACCCCCTTTTCACCAGGAAACTCAGTCGGTCTTAGTTGGAAAACACAAGTGAGATAGAGAATAAGAAGCTGCAAACTGAAGACATTGAAGAATATCATGAACAGATTTCCAGGAACAGTAAGAGTAACATCTAAAAAAATAAAAACAACAAAAAAAAGACCACAACAAAAAAAAGACCACACCAACCCAAAACACCCAAACCCAAGTCACCCCAAAAATTAAAAAAAAAAATCCTGACATCATATTTTCTCCCTTCCTTCACCAAAGGTTTTTGCCCAACACAGGCAAAATCTGAAGTAATTTTTGCTTTACACAGGTTTCCAAACTGTGTGTGAAAAATACATTTTCTCTCCAGACATACTTATATCTGAAAGAAGAAAGTCTTTCCTGTGAGTGTGACATCAGAAACTGAAAACTTTCCTGGTAATTTACACCTGGACAAAGGTCCTATATTCACTCAGAACAAGCATATTTTGCATTTGGGCAGACAATAAGACTATCTGGGCAGCAAGAAGGAGCTGGGGGTCCTCTCATGACAGCTTCTCCTGAGTGTGCTATCTTTTCCAGTGCTAAGGGTACCACAAGCATGAATATCTTTCATCTCACCATGGAAAACAACCACCAAACTAAGATTTAAGTACTGCACCATCACACAACGTGGATTTCAACCCATGGTCCACAATCACAGTGTGTCTGCAAAGAGCAACTGAGGCAAGCAAATTTACTATGGGCATTTTTCAATTCACTGTACCGGTGTTCTCCCTCCTCTCCAGCAAACTCGGAAGGTTTTGTGAATCTTGAGAGAGTGCTCAATGACCACACTACTGTGGCATGTTCAGCATGCAGATTCAGATTATAGTAATTTCCCCTGGAGAGCACCTGAATCACTTCTGCACCCGAAGTACACCAGAATAGTTTCCACTAGGATCTCCCTATCAGCTGTACTACTGGATGAAAGGGCAGGCCAAGGGTGAATCAACAGACTCGTATAAGAGCTTCAGTCAAGTAAGAAGAGGACAAAATTTATCAGAAACATACACATGCTAGGCTTGCAGTCCCAAAAGAACCTACAGACAAATGCACATATAGCCCACATGACCTTTGTCATCTATTAGAGGCAACAGTAAAACGAAATGCTCACAGACACCCGAGTACCAGACTCCCATCTACATTTGTTCAGCAAATGCTCTTTCTCTGGCTTGCTTTGGTGTCCCTCAAATCATCAGCTGTTCAAACTGCACAAACATACAATCCTTTCCCAGCAGGAATTCGGAGCACGGGATGTGGAGAACCAAGACTATTTCATTCTTGGTCACACAAGATCTCTCGTAATTACCAGGTGACAAAAATGACTTTAAAAGTGGTACAGGAAGAAGTAAATAACATGAATAATG